ATTGTGAAAATATCGAGGGAACAGATTTAAAAGTTCCGTCACCAAACCAGTCATCTGTTTCTTGAAGCATATTTAAATTGTACTGAGTAGTAAAAGTTAAAATTCTGCTTTCACTACTACCACTATCGTATGCCAAAAATGTTTCGTTTTTGTTAGTCAATTTATATATTTCAGGAATAATTAAGTCTTTGGTATTACTTGGATTAACTGGAGCATTTTTTTTTATTACTCGAGTCCGTTGAATAGTCCTTGACAATGATTTTATAATAGGTAATTGTCCAATTACCGGAACAGAAGTTTGACCCAACACATTTGAAATTATATTTCTTGTAGAAGTTGTTTCTGTTATAGCAGTATCCTTTATAGTATTCACCAGTTCTTTGGCCTCAATTTTGGCTAAGTTTGGAGCATGCGAATGATCAGTTTCTTTTAAAATCGATCCTACGAAAAAAAAACAAAACATTGTATGAAATGTGGAATGTACAATTTGAAATAAAGTCTACATCAAAATAATTAATGTTTTATTTTATAAATATTATTATTATTATTATAAATAAATATAATTAATTAAATTCTATTAATTTAGTATACAAATTTAAGTACATAACCGTTTCGTCTTTCGTTGTTGTGTGACATCGGCTTTTACATGACAACTTTTTATACTCGGTACAACGCCATACTACTTTAGTTTCATACACATCATGAATACTAAATAAAAAACCTTTATTTATAAGCATATTTTTGCCTTTTTGGCTTTTTATAAATGTAAGTGGCATTATTTAAAGTTAACGTTATTCATACACGTTTGCAAACGGCTAGGTGTTCACATGTACTAAAATCGAAAAAAACGGATGTATCGCTATCTCCAACATAATAATAATTTATATCTGATAAATCGTTGAGAACTGATTAGATTCGTTAATTTGTGGTTTTTCTGACCGTTTTCTGTATATAAGGTATTTATATTTTATATTTTTTTGTTACCGGACATTTTTTAGCAGGATATTTTTGGTACAAGTTCTTTTTGAACCGGATGAAATGTCGTGGATCAATTGTCGCCGGATATAATTTACCGGACCAAATGACGTGGAACCGTTTTTACATACCTGTTTCCGTAAAAAGTGATGTTTTAAATACTTCCAAGACAAATTACATGTTAAAAATGGGTGAAACACGATTGCGGACGCTTTACCTTTTTTGCAACACGATTGCGGACGATCATTATAGAACAAAAGGTCTTATGTTGCATCCGAAAAATGACACGACTGCGGTCGAAATTTAATGAAACGTTGCCAAGTTGTGCGACGCGGTCTACCAAGCCCAAATATTATCAATTTTATAAAAGTTCTTAACAACACAGTTAAAAATTGAAAATCAAAAAAAGTAAAAAACAAGTGCTCAATATAATAATATAATATAAACATTTAAAGCTAAAAATTGAAAATCAAAAAAAGTAAAAAGCAAAAGCTCAATATAATAATATAATATACACATTTAAAGTCAAGAGCTCAATATAATAATAAATTAATTAAATTTATATTTTTTCCCCCTGTAATGACAACTAATTTTTTTTAAATATTGTATCACGTTTTGGTGATTTTTGTTATCATTATAGCTCTGAATAGTTAGGTTGATTCTATCTAAATCTTTTTTTGCCACCGATGCCGTCAAAATACTTGCACTACAGACTTTATTAATTTGTACATAACCATTTCAAAATTCCATCTTTCCGCAGTCGCCTAAATCCATATTTATTCGTTTTGTGTAGAACTAACTCTTTACCACGTTCTGATCACTCTCAGAATTTCCACATACCCACATTATCGAAGTATTATTTATAAATTGGGCAACATGTGTCCGCAATAGTGTAATATTCGGGGGTCCGCTGATAAACTATAATCGTTCGCAATCGTGTCAATAAAAAGGTCACCCCGATAAGAACCGTCCGCAGTCGTGTATCACCGTTTAAACTGTTATTAATTAATGTAAAGGTAAAATGAATAACGTGTGTTACATTGTATATTTGTATAGTCTTTAGAGGAATTTTGAATTTATAACCTAACTTTCCATTATTATTGATTTTTCATTATGTTATGATGACAATATTATGTCAGTATGTTCGGTATAATTATCGTGGTAATGACGCCAATAGAATTTATTTATATATACTTTTAAAACAATTTACAACAATTTATTACTGTGTAACAACATAGGGCGACATCTACTTGACGGTTTTGGTGCAATAGTACGGCACCCCTGAACTTATATGAAATGCAACACAACGTACAAGGCTTCTTATCACTAGTCGTCCGAGAAAATAGTCCCCTAGCTATGGTCCCCCCCCCAACTTCACACACGTTAAATTCGCGTACCGGCGAACCGGCGGCGGCAGATAAACCGCCGATGCGTAATTCACGCAATATACTATTATATAACTCACAGTTTAACGATTACAGTATAAAAATAAAATAAACAATTAAAAACTAAAATAATTTGTGTACGTGTATCGATCGGTGGTGGCGGAGACTGCGCATATTATAGTGCTTATTACTGGGTAACAGCGCAAACAACCAATACCACAACTTTTCCAAAACGCCGCAGTCATTAAATTGATACCATAGTGTTCGACAACGGGTGACCGGTGTATACTAAACTTTTTACATTGTAATAATAACTACTAGGTAACTAATAAGTTATAAGTGATACCTAGGCAGCGGTATTCCCCTGGGCCCTCTATTTTTTCTTCATAAACTAATGCACTATGCCTGGGTTAGTTGGTTACTGTATATCTTCTTTCTCCTCACCCGTCCACCATCAGCCGAAATGTTAACGAGTTATGTCCGATCCGTTTGATATGAAGCTGCCGCCGTCGGTGGTCGCGCTGTGTTGACCACCACGGTAATCGATAGGTAATCAGTAACCAGGTTCGCGGGCGCTGTTTACCGTCAACTGCTATGTTGGCAACACCACCGGTGACCGTTACCGGCGCTCGGCGCAGGCGAGCTCGGTCGTCCGCGTCACTCTACTATTTTGCTCAACGAGTACACAACAGCTCTGTTTTTGTTCTTGCTCTTCTCGCTCGCCGGCAGCCATCTTTTCCCGTTTGGAAAGCACCCGAGAAAACGTGGTCTATAGTTTTTTCGGCATAGAGGTTGTTCCGACATCCAGCTCGTGTTGCTCATCACATTGACTGTCGTCGTCCAGTCTGTGATTCAGTTGTGAATCGTTAAGCTCATAACAACAGCTCCGTGTAGTTTTACCTACTCTCATACTTCGAGATCACGTGTTCGTGCAGTTAACCGCTCGTTTCTCCACGACACAACGGGGCATCCGCTCGCACCCGTGGTCCAGCAGATCAGCATCAGCAGTTCAGCATCTACAGTCATCAGCTCAAGACATCCAACCAGGGAGGCAGCTCAGGCGGTGATCCCCGTTCCCCCCTCCTGTTAAATATTGTAATATTGTTTTCATGATTAATTAACTAATGCTCATGTGTAACAATACATGCTCCTGATAGAAAGAAAATCTTGTTATTATTTAATTGTCTTACTCCACAACAGTCCTGAGAACCGTGTGTCAGACGACAACCGCTGGGCAGGATCGTCGGCGCAAACATTTGGTAGCAGAGCGTGGTTGATTGGTCCATCAACAGATCTGGTACTCAGGATACATGTGAGTAGTACATTTTGTTTGTAGCTATAGCATATGAGTTTAAAGTGTATAAATTTATTTATCCCTTTCCTAATTCCTACCTACTTAGTGCTCTTAGCTATTAAGATTACTAGCTTTGCTTATTATTATATTATATTTGTGATTATGGGGTCTCAATATTAATATAATATATAGTGTGGGTACTTTTCAGTAGAATATAGGTATAAGAATCTAACTCAACCAACTGCTCAGTTATTGTTACATTATTTATAATAATTAAACTTATTATTTTAGTGTTGAGTTATATTCACTGTATCCGTGTTCATGCGGTTAGCTTGTTATTATAATTAATTAATTTAAATTTACTTTAATTACCTATTACAATTAGATAAATTATCTTATTATACCGGTGCTCCCTGGGTTGAATTTATTTATTGTTTTTTAATATTGGGTATAGCTATAGGTTCTTGCTTATGGACTGCTGGTCTAGTGAACACCTATCTGAGCGATTATAGTTTATTTAATTAATTGGGTTGTTTATTATTATTTTATTGTCTGCTGTTGACAGTTGAGTCTTAACAGTAGCACTTTCACCTAGTTATTATATTTATTATATATTTGTACAGCATAAGATTTAGGTGTGCATCGTGGGTCGTGCCATTGCTCAGGTATTGTACTATAACTTTATATAATAATATTATTACTTTATTGTTTGTATTATATTATCCTTAGGTTGCTCAACTGAAGTGTAAGGGTTATATTTTGCATAATTGTTTATTTTTCTAGTTCATAGTTATTATAATCAATTTAATTACTACAACTAGTATTGCATTGTTCGGTCACACCTGGGTTTTGATTAAATTATAATAGTAGGTGCTCTCCGAGTATTTTAATTTGTCTTAACTGTCATTAGTTGCTATATTGAGTGTGAGTTAGCATTTAATTAGTTGCTTGTCTAGTTATTGCCTACACCAACGTTCATATTATATTTTTATTAGTTGATTTGTTTATTGTTGTTTGACGTTGTTCATCGTCTGATCGGTTATTGTATTTTATCAGCTGTATAGTTAGTGTAGGTTGGTGATTGCATAGGTGTTGCCTATATCAATTAAGTCTTCTGACTTTTAAGTAATCAATTCAATTGCTACTGCTTAATCATTATTATTTGGCATCGTTGATCAACGTTTTGCATTGTGTGTCTTCATATTGATTATTTTAATTGGTTGAGCTTGCTCGTGCTCTTGCATTTGATCTGTTCTATATCGTATTGACGTTCAACAACTATTCATATTCTGCTTTGATTGTTTATGGTGGTTAGGCTCTTCTGTGCATACTAGTGTGTTAGTAACATGGTTGACGCAGAACGGGATGCTCGAGCCAAGGAGCGAACGATACTACGTCGAGATGGTGTAGTGGCTAGGATTCGCCATATTCATCAACTGGCTACTAGTTTAGCAACCGACCAGGCTGTTCGGCCTCAGTTAGCTGTTGCTATTCAGGACCTGGATGCATTGTGGGCCAGTTTTGAAGTAGAAAATAATGATTTGTTGTCAATCCTGTCCGATTTGAATTTGCTGACAGAGTTTCCGGTAAGGTTGGATGTTGAGATCCGAACGTTAGTAGTGGATATTAAGGCCGTGTGGAATGAAGCGCAACCGGCTTTAGGTGTGAGCGTTGGTACCGTCCAGCGAGTGACGTATGAGACCACTGGTGACAATTCGAGTACTTCCGCTGGGTCGTCCAAAGTTGATCCAACACCATATGCGCCTTCACCTTTGTCACCTATGAGACTACCTGAAATCCCCCTACCATATTTCGACGGTGAATGCCAGAATTGGCCAGCCTTTGGGGACTTATTCGGAAATTTGGTAGCCAATAATGACAAGATTCTTGATGTAACTAAGTTTTATTATTTGATCGGTTGTCTTCACCCTGATCCTCAGGAAGTGATCAAAGGGTTTTCCATTTCGAACGAGTCTTTCACCCTCGCTTGGGAGGCGTTGACCGAACGCTATGACAAACCGCGCAGGTTGGCGTCGTCAATCATTGACAAATTGATAAACGCTCCTGCCGCAAGTTCGGAGAATCATGCTGCTCTGCAGAAGTTCCTGTCAGTGTTTGATGAAAATATTGCGATCTTGGAATCGCTTCAGATTCCAGATTTAGCCTCGTTCCTGTTGTTTTCATTAGCTGCTCGGTGCTTACCCACATTTTCTAGACGTCAGTTCGAGTCTGAGAATACTGAAGAGTATCCATCGATCCAGAGTGTAATCAAGTTTGTCAAGGCAAGGATCCAGGTTATCGAGAATGCTGGTGTACAGCCGTCAGGAAGTTCGTCCAAACCGGCCAGTACCAAGAAACCTGTTTTTCGGCGAGATGCTAAGACCACCTTAGTAGCTGCTAAGCCTTCAGCAGCGGCCAAACCTACATCGTCCAAAACGACCCAAGCAAGGTCATCTTCCACGAAGTGCTTCTCGTGTTCTGGTGCTCACCAGTTGGCAGACTGTTCAAAATTCAAGGCCTTGTCTGTCGATGAACGATATAAGGTCGTATGCACCCATCGTCTGTGTATGGTTTGCTTTGGTGAAGGTCATATGTCATACAAGTGTTCGTCATCGTGTGCCACATGTAAGCGCCGTAATCATGCATTGCTACATCGTGACTCGGATTCGAAGCCTGTCAGTGCTCCAGCTGCCATGCTTGGTCGGCAACAATCTCCAACGGTGCTATTAGGGACAGCTCTGGTCCAAGTACAAGACACAGTAGGGAGTTGCCGCACTATACGTGCGTTAATCGATTCGGCTTCGCAGATAAGCGCGATAACATCAAACTGCTGTGAGCGATTGGGACTCAAACCATCGCGTTGGACAGTGCCTGTCACAGGACTGTCTGGTCAAAGAGTACCGGATGTACATGGCGTTGTTCAGCTGACGATCCAGCCGCGAAATCGCCCTACGCCGTCTATAAGTGTCAAACCTTGGGTGCTGTCTTCGATCACTACCGATATGCCAGCTCGGCAATTACCAGCTCAGGTCCGGGATAAGTGTAGCCACTTGACTCTGGCAGATCCGAGTTTCGACAAACCTGCTCCCGTCGATATGCTCATCGGCGCCGACATCTTTCCACAAGTCTGGAATGATAAAAGCAGTTCGTTAGGCCCAGGATTCCCATCGGTGTACAGCTCGGTCTTCGGTTGGGTCCTGATTGGTCCGGTACAAGAACATCCAGACATTGGAGCTCAGTCGATGTTGGTGTCCTTGGTGTCTTCAATGGAAACTCTCATGGAAAGATTCTGGTTAGTAGAGGAACCGGACGCAGCTCCGCAGCAATTCACGGAAGATGGTCTGTGTGAAGAGTTGTTCCACTCGGAAGTCAACAGGGATCCGCAGGGCCGATTTTCTGTACCACTTCCTTTTCGCTCAGGTCAACCAGTGAAGTCCTTTCCGGGTTCTCGGCAGGTAGCCCTCAATCGGTTTCTGCAGCTAGAGCGGAAGTTGGCGGCAGATAACATCCTATATGCAGCCTACCGCAAATTCATGTCCGAGTATGAGGAACTCGGTCATATGACCCGGGCAGAGGGTGTCGGACAGTATTATATTCCGCACCATGCGGTCCAGAAGGTTGAAGGGGATGATGTCAAGCTTCGAGTAGTGTTCGATGCTTCGGCGAAGTGTCACTCGGGAATATCCCTCAACCAGTGTTTGCTGGTAGGACCAAAGCTACAAAAGGACATTGTTGATGTTCTGGTTGGGTTCAGGGCGCATAAGGTGGCATTCACAACGGACATTTGTAAGATGTATCGACAGATTGAGGTACTGCCGCAATATCGAGGATATCAGTACATCTTGTGGCGCGAATCACCTCAAGTCGCTGTCAAAGAGTATACCCTGAACACCGTCACATATGGGGTGAATAGTGCTCCCTATTTAGCTCTGAGGGTTCTCCGCTACATCGCCGACACGGAATGCGCAGATCAGCCAGACGTGAAGGGAGCGTTGTACAACCAAACGTACATGGATGATATATGTGTTGGCGCGGAGTCATTGGAAGCTGCCAAAGCTTTGCAGTCCAACCTGATCAAGACTCTCGCCAGATCCGGCCTACAACTACGAAAATGGGCTAGCAACACTCCTGAGTTGTTGGACCATCTGCATCCGGAAGATCGTTCTGGAAGTCCGTTGTCGTTCGAACAAAATAATGCCACGCATGTGTTAGGCATGTTGTGGAACCATGATCTGGACTATTTTTCCTTCACCGTCAACAATTTTAAATTGGTTCTCACAAAGCGAGGTGTTCTGTCCATGATCGCCAGGATTTTTGATCCGCTAGGTATGCTGTCGCCAACGATATTCTATGCAAAGAAGATTATGCAACGCCTGTGGCTCGCGCAGGTTGACTGGGACAGTCAGATCCCGTCGGATATCGTGGGTGATTGGACCCGCTTCTATCATTCACTGGGTTGGCTGGTGGATATCCAAATCCCACGCTACATCGGTTGCTACACTGGTTGTAGTTACGTTCTCTGTGGTTTCTGTGATGCCTCCGAGAAGGGATATGCGGCGGTAGCGTATCTACGCGTGACTGATCCGTCCGGAGCTACGGCCACATACCTCTTGGGTGCTAAAACCAAGCTAGCCCCAATGAAGACCATGACGATACCACGACTGGAGTTAAGTGGTGCATTGCTCCTTGCATCATGGTTGGCCAGGCTCAAGCGCATTTTGGAGTTCCAGTTGGGAATTTCTGATGTCTTCGCGTGGTCTGATTCGTCCATAGTTTTATCGTGGTTGAACATCCCGCATACATCGTTCAAGACGTTCGTGTCGAACCGGATATTTCAGATCCAGTCCACAGTACCTGGTTGCCGCTGGCAACATGTGCGTTCCGAGGATAATCCGGCTGACTGCGCGTCTCGAGGTCTCCTCCCTGACGAGCTTAGGCGATGCAAGCTCTATTGGCGGGGTCCGACCTTCTTGCAATCTCCAGTCGAAGATTGGTCTCAGGAAATCCCACAATTACAATTGGAAGAGTTGCCGGAAGTAAAACCAGTGTGTTTATTGGCTCGTGAAGATCCTCCGGTCGAATGGTTTATTCGGTTCTCCTCCTTTCATCAGATGGTCCGCGTAGTAGCTCAGGTACGTCGGTTCATTCGGTTGTGTCAAAAGAGAAAGGTTGAGTTAGGGTTTTTGAAACAATCTGAATTGGATGAGGCTATACTCGTGATCGTTAGGAGCGCTCAGGAATGCTATTTGAGTCAGCTAGTAGGTGGCCTGCGTCGGGGGAGCCCGGTCCAGTCCAAAGCGCTAACCCGTCTGTGCCCGTTTTTAGATTCAGACGGTATAATCCGCGTTGGCGGACGGATGCAGAACTCCAATTGGTCGGAGAGAAGAAAGCATCCTATGCTAGTCCCGAAAGAGTCTCACTTAGCGGTTCTGATTACACGTCATTGGCATCTGTATGCATGTCACGCTCGACCGAGGTTGCTCATCGCTCTCGTTCAGCAGCGATTCTGGGTCATTGGCATTCGCCTAATAGTTCATCGGGTGATTCGCAAATGCGTGTTATGTGTAAAAATGTCGGCTAATCATCCACAACCCATCATGGCTGCTCTGCCAGGGTTCCGGGTCCGAGAAGCTCATCCGTTTTCGATAGTCGGCATAGATTACGCAGGTCCCTTGCAGATGAAGGAACTCAGTCTGCGAAAGGCGCGCATCGTAAAGGTTTATATTGCGGTTTTTGTTTGTATGACCACCAAAGCGGTGCACCTAGAACCAGTGACTGCTCTGTCGACTGAGGCCTTCTTGTTGACTTTAGATAGATTCGTTGCTCGCCGTGGCCTACCGTCGTCCATCTATTCTAATTGTGGCACCAATTTCGTTGGTGCGGCGAGGCAGCTGCGTCTTTTGATCAACAATCCGGATAGTAGAGATCAGTTGTCAGGTCATATTGCGTGCGAATGGCATTTCAACCCTCCTGGTGCTCCCCATTTTGGAGGCATTTGGGAAGCTGCCGTTAAGTCGGCGAAGTCATTGCTTGTTCGTGCAATGGATTCCCAAATTTGGACCTTGGAAAAGTTCACAACGGTGTTGTGTAGGGTAGAGGCTGCCTTGAATTCGCGCCCCCTAGTACCGGCTTCATCTGACCCAAATGATTTAGAAGGTTTAACGCCCGGTCATTTTTTGATTGGTCGTCCTCTGTTGTCTATTCCAGAACCTGTTAGTGCCAGTGCACAAGTGGGACTGCAGACTCGCTGGAAGCTCCTCCAGCAGTCTTTCCAGTTCTTTTGGCGACGTTGGTCTCGAGAGTATTTGAACACACTCCAAGCTCGTGGTAGGTGGACGAAGACTGATACCAATCTCGAAGTTGGTACTATGGTTATCGTCAAGGTTAATGACGCGCCCCCGCTATCGTGGCCATTAGGTAGAATCATTGAGGTGTATCCAGGAACCGATAAGGTGGTACGGGTAGCTAAGGTTATGACCAAACAAGGGGTGTTTACTAGACCGGTGGTGAAACTAGTACCTCTCCCCACAGATCCATAGGTATTGAGACTCCCCTTGTCCCTGTTTCCTGTATCCATTATGTATCCATTTGCACTTTATGTTTGTATGTTATTGCTATGATCATTATGTTAATAATTAATGGTCTTACCAGCCATCATCGCGTCTGCTACTGGATGTTGCGTCGGCTGTTCTGCCTCGGGTACCAGGTGAGGTATGGTAATTTTTATAGTTTACCTTTTGTTATATTTTCAGGTATTAAGCTGTTATAATATCTGTATATTTAAAAAAAAAAAAACTAAAGACTTTGTTTTTTGATATTAATAAACTTTTGCTCCTATTGTTAAATATTGTAATGCTAGTTCAGCTATTGCTCTAACCATTGTTAATGTTATTAAATTAATTTATTTCTTTGCAAAAAAAAAACTGTTAATGATGTTGCCCCTTTGTAAGAAAAACCGATCTTCGCGGTGGGCTGCTTAACTGCTCCGTCCACCAGCTCCGTTCAACAGCTCAACTGCTCCGTCCACCAGCTCCGTTCAACATCTCAACTGCTCTGTTCAAGTGGTCACTTGCTCGGCCACCTATATCATGGTTGATCGAAGTCTGTTGCAAGTTAGCTGGAACTTGCAAGGGGGAGTATGTACGATCCGTTTGATATGAAGCTGCCGCCGTCGGTGGTCGCGCTGTGTTGACCACCACGGTAATCGATAGGTAATCAGTAACCAGGTTCGCGGGCGCTGTTTACCGTCAACTGCTATGTTGGCAACACCACCGGTGACCGTTACCGGCGCTCGGCGCAGGCGAGCTCGGTCGTCCGCGTCACTCTACTTTTTTGCTCAACGAGTACACAACAGCTCTGTTTTTGTTCTTGCTCTTCTCGCTCGCCGGCAGCCATCTTTTCCCGTTTGGAAAGCACCCGAGAAAACGTGGTCTATAGTTTTTTCGGCATAGAGGTTGTTCCGTCATCCAGCTCGTGTTGCTCATCACATTGACTGTCGTCGTCCAGTCTGTGATTCAGTTGTGAATCGTTAAGCTCATAACAACAGCTCCGTGTAGTTTTACCTACTCTCATACTTCGAGATCACGTGTTCGTGCAGTTAACCGCTCGTTTCTCCACGACACAACGGGGCATCCGCTCGCACCCGTGGTCCAGCAGATCAGCATCAGCAGTTCAGCATCTACAGTCATCAGCTCAAGACATCCAACCAGGGAGGCAGCTCAGGCGGTGATCCCCGTTCCCCCCTCCTGTTAAATATTGTAATATTGTTTTCATGATTAATTAACTAATGCTCATGTGTAACAATACATGCTCCTGATAGAAAGAAAATCTTGTTATTATTTAATTGTCTTACTCCACAACAGTCCTGAGAACCGTGTGTCAGACGACAACCGCTGGGCAGGATCGTNGAAAATCTTGTTATTATTTAATTGTCTTACTCCACAACAGTCCTGAGAACCGTGTGTCAGACGACAACCGCTGGGCAGGATCGTCGGCGCAAACAAATTATGTTTTGTAAGCCAACTAATGGTAGGTATATGTCAAAATTCAAAGTTAAATAAATGCGTTGGTAATATAATTAAAAACTAAAATACAATTGAAATAAAAATCCTGGCCGACACTGCAGATGACGACCTACGTGAATCCAACAGATGCGACGAAAAATAAAACATTTTTGTTTGTATTCTGTTGCGTCAAGGACGTATAGTATAGACGGAGCAGCATGATCGCCATGATCAGAATAAAAATAGTTAAACTCGTCGGATTTGGGTACGACACAGAGTAACACTCGATTTTGACCGTCTTATCTTTTTCAGGTGAAAAATCGAAAACCCTCAATGAAATGAAACTATGAAACATATGTTGTTTTTTACTTATTTCCCTTAACAATTTTACAATCTTATAGGACTGACGACAAAATTTTATTGTTGTACTAGTTAAAAATCGTTTCTTATTAAAACATTAGTGATTAGTACACACAATACACCATTTTAGACTATTAATACATAACATAATAAACTACAAATTATATTTTCGATTCTGAACCAAGCGATGAATGTATTGATTTTACTATGACATGTTATGTACATAAATGTAATATTATGAAAATATTGCATAAATCATCCTGCAGTTTTTCACACTTCAAACTCTTCAGAAATTTTACTACCAAAGACAACACATTACTAAAAACACACGGTATGTAAAATCAATACCTTCAATTCTAACTAATTTCTAAGCTCAGAATCTAAAACTAAGATTTTTACTCAAAGCCAGTTTTCGACAAATTAAATTTTGATTTATGATGTAACAATGAAAGAAATGTCCGTTGATGTATGAAATGTTCACCAAATGTTTTATTAGACATTTTGTACACCATAGAATTTAAAAAAATATTTTGACTCGTTTTGAACTGTTTCTGGATATTTTCAATTTTTTTTAGTTTTTATTTTTTTTTCTAACAATATCAATAAAAGAATTCAAGAAATTAAATCGTATAACAAAACACATCGAATTATTTAAATACAATGAAATATAGGTATGTTAACCAACCATGTGTTGATATTCGAATGAACTCAATGAAATAAAGTATAAAATGCATAATTAATTTTAACAATTTTCTATTTTAGTTGTAAACAATATTTTCGTAGTTATCTACACGGGAAACACGTTTAAGAATAGCCATATTTGAATATTTCTCTATTGTCGTAGCAAGGTATTTAGTTTCTTCTTTAGAACCAGAAGATTCCATTTTTTTAATGTAAAATTAATAATTTAATAATATAAACATAATATTATGTATGGCACAAACACACTTTATTCTTATTTTTTTTTTTTTTATCAAAAATAAAGTAATGTATCAAAATAAAATTGATAAAACTTCTCAAATGACAACAAACTATGAAAAATATAAAATACATCTTATCGCGGCGCGTTATACAGACCATGACAAAGTAGATAGGTATGATGACAATAGTTTTCATTATATTCTTTTTCGCGCACCACGCCCACTGTAGTTCGCCTATTATCATTGGTTGTGATATTTTACCGCGAGAATACAAATTATCAATGTTATCTTAATGATAATATTATAATTTATAACTTTACTTACTACTTTTGTTTTTTCAAGTAAATTTTGAGTTTGATTTTGATTTTTAACTTCCAAAGCAGTTATTATTTCGCGATCCATAGTCTTTCTATTTATCACTATATTGTGGTATTTTTACATATTTTTTGTATAATACTATAATAGTTATTAAGTTGTATCTTACATCATTAGTGTAAATTATTAACTAATTAAATATGCCTGTTTGTAGTTTTATTAATTGTATGACTGGTAGTAAAAGCAAACATGTGGTAAAAATTACGAATCGTACAGTAACCACACATAGGTTTCCTAAAGATCCTTATATGAGGAAGTTGTGGCAAGATCAAGCTCAACATGGATATAAGAAAAGTAATATTAATTTTGAATCAGGTCTGTATTCATTAAAGTACCTATATAATATATTAAATCATTTTATGTATCAAATAATATATAGATTAAAATTGTTAAACATTAATGAGAAACAATAAATTTATTTTAGCTGTAATTTGCTCTCTTAATTTCGCTCCATATCATTACAATAACAACAGCACAGATAAATGTAAACTTAAACCTGATGCGATTCCATTGAGGTGATAATTTTTGTTTTTTGTGGTAAAGTGATAATTTTCTATAATATGTATTTGTAATAATTTTTCTAGTTTGAATGGTATAGATTATTCTGATGTACCTTTTATTAGTACTACTCCGATAAAAGAGCCCTCCAAGAGCCCTGTAAATGATAAACTTGAAGTTATAACCACTCCAACAGGAAAATTTTATGTGTAAGGCTTAAATTAAATTACTTGATTAAACAAAAAATGTGTATGCATATTTTATGTATCTCACACAATAATAAACAAAATAATTATTATTGCTTATCTTTATGTTTTTATTAGAGAGAATATTATACCTGATCCAAATAGTTTACCAGAAAATCTGACATTAAGGTAGATATTTTAATTAACCAATACCTATCAAACTTAAATAATTTAATACATTTTACATTTATTAGCAAAAATGTAAGTCGTAAAAGATTATTTGATGGCAAAAAAAGTCTATCAATTAGTGAAGACTTAGGAGTTGAACCTCTTATATTAGTAAATGAACCAATAGAAGAGCAGATTTATAAGTAATGTATTTGATGGTTTAATTTAATTTAGCTGTATACTCCTATACAACTATCTGTGTCTGTATATTAAAACTAATAATGTAATTTTTTGTATATGTTATAATATTCATGACCAAACATAATTTGTCATGGTTATGATTAATACGTAGAACTTGGAAAAAGCTCAAAAGTGGATGATTCAATTTAGTGGAAAACATACTTGCAGTTACTCTTTGAAAAATCTTGTTACTGGTTTATTTAGTGATATTTATACTTAAAAGTTAAATAATATATTAATATATACCTATTAAACTAGGAACTTGATTTTAACATTGAGATACCTACCTTAGATACCTGTGATTTAAGTTTTAAATAAAAATACTTATATTTTTTAATATTATGTAAAATTATGTTTGCATGTTAATTAGTATTAATACATGATTTTTTTTTTATACAAAAAAAATTATAAATGTGTAGATTATTTAGTTTATTAACATTTTCCTGTACTAATTGTTGTAATAGAAACACTTTATGTATAAAATGTTGTTAAAATAAAAAAAAGTTATTTAAGAAACTTTTGAATTGTTTTGTGTTCTAGTTTATATCAATTCATATTAATTTCATCATATAAATAATATATATAAATTTATTATGAAATTTAGATTGACAAATGAAATACAATTGTTAAAAGATGAAAATGAAAGACTTATCAAAAATAACTTAAGTTTAAAACAACTAGCTAAATCACAGAAGGATTTATTACTTGAAGAAGAACATATATTTGAAGTTCGTTTTAAAAAATTATTATCAGACATATTTACTCCTACACAAATTAATCTTATACTACA